ATGCAAACCTTCAAAGGGCATGAAATACGAAAATCTAACGGTTTTGCAATCTCTCTTGAACACGTCCAGTCAGGGGCATAAACCCCTCGGTCTTATAATCAGGACATTTACAACCCACCATATGATCTCTACGTTTCTGGACTAAAACAGAGAAAACAACGTTCAAAGGTGTTTATACTGCCACTCAGAAAGTTCATTTTAAGACTAATCTGCAATCTTGGCCAAATACATAGTGTTAATAGCTGGACATATGGGTGCTTATGTATCATCAATGAACAAACACAATTTTGGGAACATGAAATTGTAACTTCAACATCGGAGAAATTACCTTTTTGTTTCAGCAAATAATTAGTCTGATTTGTATAATCTCATAAAACTAACACATTTTTATGATAGTCATTACTCGATTTTATAATGTTGATAGAATTGGCATTTGGATCAAAATAAGTCAAATATTTCTGAATATATATTAATCTTAAATCAGATAAACGTTCACCCTTAAGGAGTAGATGAAATTCATCTTCAATAACATTTTTGTCATTCAATTTACAAAATGAACTGTGTAATTAACTTTATTGTATCTTCGAGTTTCAACTGCTAAATTAAAATTGCCAGATCTAAATTTGGACAGTGCAAATCTGAGATGTAAAGAGGCTTTACGTGCAATAGAATATCTTTGACTTTGCAAACGTTCACGGCCATCCTCCCATTCAACTGTAATCCAAAACTGAGCTGACACCTATAGTTTAACATCGTCATAGCCAACACGACCCGTGTTTACATGCATCATCTGTATGTTTATTTTCACTTCCCACATTCAGTTGAATGACTGTACGTTAGATACAAAAGCACGCTTCAATCGACTCACATGTAATATACCCAGAATAATGCTAACACGTCTATTTAGCGCACCACATGTGTGCTGATGCGTAGGTGCATGTTCAAAGAACAACTGACATCATCATACAACCACACAACGGAAATCTAGTCTCTTTACGGCATCATTAACACATACCGACATGTTTTATGGCGAGTATTTTAGGATAGAGTGCAAGTGTCCAAACATGTAAACATGTTTTTAGAACAAGACCTGAGCACTAACTCATCCTTAACATTGCCATGCAACAGCAATCTATTCCATCGAGGTAATGTATCAGTATCAAGAACCTGCTGCAAGACTGGCATCATGAGATGCAGGTCTATTGCTTGCCATAGTGCAGGCTAGAAGTCATGCATTCGAAAATGCAACAATGCAAGTCGTGGGTGGTGCAGACATCGCAACGAAGGACATCAGCGAGCCAGTGATGACAAATTATTTATTGGTCCACAAAAGGATTTCTGTTTACATCAAACTGACACGATGTTCAAAGCGGCGTGAAATCAAATCTCAGCCGCACACACATCAGAGTATAAAATACATTGTGGCGCTAATATGCTAAAGCGCATTGTTTTCATCAAATGAGAACTGAAAATGATCATTTTCCCATGTGTATATCACTCTTCTGATTTGTACCATGCGCTCCCGTGCCTTTAAGTGAAATCCTACCTTGCCTATTACTTTGCATGTGTTTGTGAGCGTGGGGCAAAATACTGTTCCGAGAACACCGGGTGTCTTGACTGTCTGAGAGTGATTCATAAACACATCCATATGATATGGTCGGAACAGACCAAGGAACTGGTTTTAGAAGAGATTTCCTATAATAATGGAAATGGTTATATATGGCTTATGTTTATAAACTAAATTGTTTAGGTTCACTAATCAATAAATATGTCTTTAATTAAAAAACACTAGGATGATAAGTCGCCCTTGAGACTTCCTCCTGTCTCTGAGCTTAACGATAAATACTGGAAATGGATATCCTCACACTGTTAACACAACAAACCGGTCACAACTAAACTATGAAAACACAAAAAATGATATTACATCTTATAAGATCAGTACACAACAGATTGGTAAAGAACAACCGTTATGTATTTGTGTCCACCCTGCCGACGCTTATTGAAACACGTTACATCTTATAAGATCAGTACACAACAGATTGGTAAAGAACAGCCGTTATGTATTTGTGTCCACCCTACCGACTCTTATTGAAACACGTTATATCTTATAAGATCAGCACACAACAGAATGTTAAAGAACAACCGTTTTGTATTTGTGTCCACCCTACCGACTCTTATTGAAACACGTTACATCTTATAAGATCAGTCTGACTGACTGAGTTTAGTTTTACGCCGCTTTTAGCAATATTCCAGCAACATCACGGCGGGGAACACCAGAAATGGGCTTCACACATTGTACCCATGTGGGGATTCGAACCCGGGTCTTCGGCGTGACGAGCCAACGCTTTAACCACTGGGCTACCCCACCGCCCCAATAAGATCAGTACACAACAGAATGTTAAAGGTCACATGCAACCAAAAAATCAAACATAATTAAAACACAATTATCACTTATTCATGACATATATTATACATTGCTGGTTATGAAAAAACATATAAACAAAATTATAAGCGTACAATCGCAAATCAAAAGTGCAATATTGTGTACTTGGGTTTTCTTCCCAAGAAACGAAGCACCCAGGACACCGAACCCAGTCAGAGCGGGTGGGTGTGCACTCAAGTGTAACGGCTGGTTCATTTGCAGATGCCCTAACGGCTCATTGTGTGTTTATATATAGAGATGTTGGGTTTTGCACATGCTCATTTTTTGTGTACAACATTTTGCAATCAACAGACATCATAACATGTCATGTGTTCAAGTATCACACCTGCCTGTCTGTGTAATTACATAATGTGACAGAGACCGAACTCGGGCCATAAATCAATGCGTTTTGTTTATGGTGTTTAGCCTGATTGGTGTTAAGTTCAAATTGCATGTGGTCAGTGATCGAAGTTGTGTATAGAATATTGTCATTAGCAGACAGGCAGGCAGACACACAGGTGTCAATAAAACAAGACATTGAGTTTTGTCTGTGACAACGACATATCTATATCACAGTTAGAAATTCTGTCAACGCTAAATAATGACATTGCTTTTAAGTATCGAACTGAGAAAGTGACTCGGTAAGAAGAACGTGTGGTAAAATAGACAAATGAAATTATATAAACAGTTTATTTACTGTCATAACATATAAAAAGCTCGCGCTTGTGAGATATCAACAAAACATAAGGAAAATAGCTCACACCAAAGCCTTAACCGAGTATTCACCGGACAGCCCGCTTCCAAGTTGCGCGAACCTATTTCACTGCGCACGTTCTATGAGCGCAGCCCAGCTGTTGAAACCAGTTTTCCCCAGAAAAGTCGGGGGAAAATTAGTGAATCGTTTGAACTCCGATTTCGCGCGGTTTTTTTCATCGCGTTATTTTTCAACTTTATAAGTTGAATTTGCATTTTTGATGATTTGTTTCGGTAGGTCCATACCGAAAGGTATCAGAATCTGCAAGTTGTGTTTTACGTTGCATGTGACCTTTTTAAAGAACAACCGTTAGGTATTTGTGTCCACCCTACCGACTCTTATTGAAACACTTCACCGTTTCTCCACAACAGTTGTCAACATGCCACGTCAATGGCTCACACACTATCTACCTTTGGGGCTAACAAGCTCGTGTGTTGCCAATAAGCAGCCCCATGGGAACCATCATCCCTACCAGACGGACCTTGATAGATCTGGTTTATCAGGCTCAAAGGCTTATCCCTACCAGTATATCCTTGTGGTAGACAGTAGCGCTAATTATCTGGGGAGTGGGGAGGCGTTGTTTGACCCCAAATAATGTGTAGGGTAAACTCTGCCAGTACGCGAGCCTACGTGAATGGACATCCTTTCGTGCCATTTAGAAACAGCGATAGACTGACAACTAGTCTCTGAAATGAACACATTTTACAGACAAAAATGCTCAAAGTGAAAAAAATAAAATGTAATGAAAAGCAGCCCTGAGACTTTCTTCATTTTGAAGCAGAGGAATGACTTGTCATTTTGAATGACTTGCCACATTTTCTAGACTTGCGTGGGCTTTCTTAGATATATTTACTTCAGGGTCTGTATGACAGACTAAAACAATAGAAAGCAATGTGTCATTTTGTGTTTGCCTATCTTAGGGTTTTTGTTATACTTATGTGGTGTGTTATAAATACTACACCTATGTGTAGGTTCCTTTGTTTATGTTGGTGTTGTTGTTTTTTGTTTTGTTTTTATGGGGTTTTTTTTGGCTTTTTCTTTTGGTTGGTTTTTATTAGGTCTTATAGTTCATCACATTTTCCTAGTCGGCATTAATTATAATGTGGCGAGTTTCATTGAAAATTATTACTCATTATTAATATTATTGAGATTTATTGATGTACGGGTAATGAGATTCATAATTAGTATCTAACTGATGGCTCCGTCATACTGAAGTTATTTATTTCGCCCATCAGTATTATAGGTTATACATATTGCTCATGGCTTTCATTAATTATAAATAAATACAGGCCCACCCGTGATCAATCTGACGTACTATCAAGCCTTTCAGTCTTACATCCTTAAAAACGTAAGACAGTAAAAGACTATTCGACATGTCCTTCGGGATCGTCAAATCCATCAAATCCATCCCATTTGGCCTTCACTCGCGTCACACACTAACTACGATCTGTGTTCAGGAACAAGAAACCGCGTGATAAGGGCGTGTTCTATGTGCAAGAAGGCACGTCAGCAGCCGTTGCTCATAGTATAGAACTTGACTCAATTTCTTGAAGATTTAATGATTTAATGAACATTCACTCACTCACCTCTACAAAAAACCCATTCTGAAATAACCGTGACAACAGACTTTTATCTACCTGAAGCAGGTGATGGTTAATCCTTTCTGAAATCCCCCATATACGTAGACATTACGTCATTTCACTGTCTTCAAGATAAGTCCAGTTATGGGCAATTCATGAAAGAAGCAGTAACTGACTCATACACGAAATATGCACACTTCACCATATTAAATTCCTCCTCTCGTGATAGATACTCCATTCTTACCTTACGTTCGTGTTATATCAATTCGGCATCAGTGAGCTGAAAGGTGCGTTCGTTCTTTATCACGTATCAGTAACGTTATCTGTAGACGCAGTTGGTAGCGTGTCTCCCTGTCATGAATGTGTTCAACAATGTTTTCTTCTGCATATAGGTCGTAGTTGAAATTAGGTTCGCACTCAGGCTAGAAGTTATCCAGTTCATACTGTGTTGCTGTTATATGCAGTTGGGTTAACGTGACCCTATACATGTGTCTTAGATACGGCCTTAAGTCGCCTTATCTGGAACATGAGTGCGTCAGGACTGGACTGGATGATGTGCATGTGGCGGCTGAAATGAGTGAGTGATTTGGGTTTGTCGCCAGGTATTCAGCTTTATCACCGCGTCTCATGATCAGCTTAAGGAACGCAGGAAATGATGTATGCCTCCCACATTTCCACAGATAGTACTGACAAACCTTGAAACATAATCAGGTCGAACCGAGATTAGAGCCCCCGATGATAGGTTTCTAGCACACCCAAGGGACGCAGATATTCACAATATATTTCCACACTTTCGATGACGGTTCCACCTGTGACCCTACGCGGTTGATGACTCGTTAGTTATCCATAGTTTATGAGGCATGATGACAAAATGATAGACATGCTGAATATCTGTGTTGATTACATGTCTATTTCGAGTGCTTGCTCATATTGATTTATTCGATATATCTGTATGTTCAGAATTGCTTGTGTATTCATCTACAAAACGTTCACGCAAAGAACATGTTGCTATGCTGCATCGAGATAAACGTTGATTTATTTACACACCGGCACATTATTACTTCAGTATATCATGGTTCAGAGTGAGTGAGTGAGTGAGTGAATGAGTTTAGTTTTACGCCGCTTTAGCAATATTCCAGCAATATCACGGCGGGGCACACCAAAAATGGGCTTCACACATTATACCCAAGTGGGGAATCGAACCCGGGTCTTTGGCGTGACGGGCGAACGCTTTAACCACTGGGCTACCCCACCGCCCCTGGTTCAGAAAGAACACGTTTTAACCAACTGACTATTTTCTAAGAGCGCTGTGTCATGTAACAATTTTGTTTAATTGTTTTTATCGAAACAAACATCCGTCTTTTTCGGTGCAAACATCATGTCGGATACGACCTACAATAACATAATCCAGCAGAGTGCTTTATACCCAATTATTCCTCACAAAGAAGATAATTTGTTCAATAACATCCCAGTTTAGAATGTACGTGACCATCTAATATCCATTGTCCTTGTTCCAACGCATCCAGTCGTAGGCATGAATGAGCAAAACTGTCTCAAATATCACAAAGTATATTGACCGATGATCCCAAAATGACTTTCTTGGGACTATTCTGTCACGTGACAACGAGCTGAGAGATTAAATGTATTGTTACTGACCTCCCAGGGGAATGGTCCCAATGTAATAGCATTGGGTTATATTAGCACTCAACAGTACTGATGTTTGTTGTGAGCTCTGTCCATAGTAACATTAGTGTTGTTAAATATACACACTACGAGGGCGAGGTGCTTTCATATATACTGCTCAAACAAAGTTAAAGAAAATTCAGGCTCAGTGTTTCAATACCCACTAGCAATAACAGATTATTAAGTCATATGAAAATATCGGATGTCTTTTGAGTAGTACAGCGTCACATGTCAGAAACATCGCTGTATTAAATGTACACGCTTAACACTCTTAAATCAGCAATTCAGTGGTCATAATGGCACACAGCATGGTACCTTCAGAGCAGCGTTACCTCTTTCTGTCATGTTTTAGATCCACCTCGTGGTATCCTCTGTTCTAATTCCAACTGTTTTCTATTATGCCCTTTCGTTTCTACAATTAGACATCTTGGTTTTATAATATGTATTCCCTTTTCTGCAATATGCCTCCTCTTTTCTGCAATAAGAACTCTCTTGTCTGCATTAGACGTTTCTTTTCTGCAATAGGAACTCTCGGTTTTATCATATGCCTTTCCTTTTCTGCAAAATGCCTTCTCTTTTCTGCCACATGATGTCCTTTTTCTGCAATAAGCCATCTCCGTTTTGCCGTCTCTAAACTTTAATATACCCTACGTTTATTACATAGTACATTGTGTGCAATAACATGTCTGCGTTTTGTAGCATAACATCTGAGTGATCTGCAATATGGCATCTGTGTGTCTGACTAAATGTGTCAGAAACATGGCTATAATAAATATACTAAACCATATAAACTATAATATATGCACGCCCACCTTAAGCCATCGTTCCAGTGGTCATGATGGCATACAACATAGTAATTTCAGAGCAATGTGCGTTACTTCTTTCTGTAATGTTTTAGGTCTATTAATGTGGTAACTATGTTCAAGACCTATTATTCTGATACTTTGGTTAAATTCCAATCAAGGCTTCTAATTACAAAGCTACATGAAGTGACTTAAAAATTACGGTTAAACAATATGAACTACAGCAATAGAAGATAATAGGGATAAACAAACTTACCATTGTCAATTGCAAGCTCATCATACTGCAAGAGGCTGCCATTCTGCGATGGTGCCAGACAGGTTTTACACACAGACTCTAGGTGAAAGATGTATCTGGATAAAATAACTATATAGACTTGAAGTTCCACACTTCAGTTATGAGCTTTAGATATTGGTACTGGCGCCAGGAAACAACAGTCTAGGATCGACCCTGTTTAAAAAGTGATGTTCAAGTAAAAGCACAGATTGAGCTCAAGCTATCAATTTCCTGACAGAATTCCTTTTTGGATTGCTGTTTGCTCTCTCTTCCTGCTCTTCTCTCGTTAAATATTCATACGATCACACTCTGATATTGATGAATAATTGGTTATGAAATGACCGTGTCCATGGCCATAGTCCATCACCCTCAGACCGCTTGACAGCACGTATGTGTATTTCCTCATCTCTCTAACCAACTTTGCATATCAACTCTACGTGATGTGCGTCAGAGTATGTGACGTTCTAAATAACGTCACTTTTATATAGGCTAAAACCATGTTGGGTAAGACGTCAAGACTTGAATTGAAATTGCCTCCAAACGTCCGAAATGTGGTTTATATAGGTGTGGAAATAAATTATTGAAGGTCTACATAATGCATGTGACAAACACATCCTCATTAAATCTACTACTGTGTGTATTGTGTGTAATGTGTTCTTAAGGTCTCGTTTGCATCCAAATATATCTGTATTATACATCTAAACCCGTGAAGATCCGGGTTAGAATTGATCTCCTGTAACCCATGATTGTCGTGAGATGGGATAGGGTGGTCAGGCTCGCCCACTTGGTTGACACATGTCATCGTATCCCAATCGCACAGATCGATGCTCATGCTGTTGATCACTGGATTGTCTGGTCCAGACTCGATTATTAACAGATCGCCGCCATATAGCTGGAATATTGCTGAGTGCGGCGTAAAACTAAACTCACTCACTTACTCGCTCATACATCTAATATCAGTTCTAATTTGCTCAGGTGATTTGTAGAGGACACATCAAAGAGGTATAGAAGTATTTTAGATGATCTTAAGGGCACCGAGCTCGTCAAAGAGTCGAGATCCCAATGTGCCCCGATGAGAACTGTCGCGGCCTTTGCTTTTTCGCGAAACGTCAGACTGGCGTCAGTCATAAATAGATTCGTTAATGGCATTATTATTTCATTATTGTAGGTGTTCAATGATCTACTAAAAAGTAGTGTTCCGTAAATTATAAACTGATTTCATTGCATTAATATTTAACTGTGGGATATAAAACATCAACGCCAAAGAATAATAAGTCAGAATATGTTACGAAACCGATTCCTCTGGGCGTTGAAGAATAATAGAAGAGAAATGTATTTGAAGGGATCACTGAAAATCAGCGATGACACTGGAACCAAAGATTTTATAGAAATCATCCTGTATAAACTACAATCAAATAAAGGACTAATGTAACGCTGTTATCAACCCATGCATACTAAACTTTGTCATTCATTTATAAAACATTTTCAAATGAAAAATGTATAAGAAACACCAAACAACCACAATACTGGGTAGTAGAGTAACATTGTAATAGCCTGTTTCAATTCAACTGATACACATGTAACTCATTATGCTCATATCGCGTTACCAATCATGCTTCGCCTGGGATGTTTACTGTTACGTTTACAAACCCATAAATGTCCATCAATTCTATCTGTGCATGACCTTTCGTTATATATAATGTATCAGTTAACATGAGTTTAATGTGAATGTGTACAATACACTGGATGTTCTCTGCCATTGTGAGAACAATGTCAGCACTTCATGTAGGAACTGTATGGTGGAGTTTAGTGCCATGTATGTTTACAGTAGTCAGTAGTACATCGATATGAAACGACGGATGTTAATACTGACGTCACAATACTTTGTTCGAGGGCACGATTCACTGCGCAGATTAGACAATATATTAATCGACTTGGAGGTGTTGATGTATCCCAAACATCTGTGGAAACAGATTGCGGTCAATCAATGGTGTTTAGAAACGATAAATATATTCTCTGATAACAATATCATGAACAATTACAGCAACAAAAAATATAAATAGCAATGTATTCCATCAAGTTCGCATTAAATATGTCATGCATGAATGTCGCATTTCTACTATAATGTAGATGTGTTATAGGTGCATAATGCCTAGAGTTATAATATAAGTTGTTTATGTTACTCCTGGAATAACTCGTATACCAAACTATTGTTCATGCTCATGTGTATGTTGGTTTCTTGAAACTTAAAATCTCTCCGGCAAAAGGACCTGCGCATCCTCGTTCGATGGTAACTGAAAATGTAATAGAAGCACAATATAGAACAAACTTTATGGATAACAACTTCTTTTTATTCGTGAGTGCAACGTTTCGATACAGATTCTTGTACCGTTGTCGAGGATAATGGAACATGAATAAGGGGGAAGTGTATATATACTGGATGTAACAATGTAACAAAGAAAACAACATAATTAACATAATTGGCTAGGCAGAAAGCTGATGAAGCCAGAGAGTAGACAAAGGACAGGAGTGGAAGCCAATGATGTACAAATGATAATGAGATGTTAATAAAGCAGAGTTTATACAGTAGATTGGGCTTGGTGGATGAGTGCATCATAAGCGGATGGAATGAAGTATCCTTGGTCT